TTGTTATTAAGATCCTTACGCCTCTTTGTGCCACAGTAATGCATCTACCTTGACATATGCTGAAATGTTGGTGGAGAAAAGCAGTATATTTTCCTTCTAAATAACAAAATCATTAGAGATTAATGTGGGTTTATATATACATGTGTGTGTGTCTGTGTGTTTTGCTCAGTATATATCAAAATTTACCTGAGTGTTGAAGTCTCAATTATTAAGCATGGACAAATCACAGCTGAAAAGACTGGATAAGAGGATTTTCAGAGACATCCTTCCTGTCTGCTGATTCTATCATTATTGTGAAATGCAGTGAAATTTCCTGTGTTCAGAAATCAATATTATTTGCCTTTTTTGATGTGCACACAAAAATTTCTAAGATTTTTTTGAAGATAAATTTCCATGTTTAGTCTGAAAATACTATTCTGGAAAATACCTTTGCATAGTAAATACAAGCACAAAAAATTTAAATATTAGAAATATATTAAATCAGGCTAAAATTAAATTTCTTATGAATTTTTCTTTCTTTTTTTCTGTATTGGCTGCAGTATACTTAAAACTTAAGGTGGCTTTGTATACTTGGGATAAATTAGGAAGAAGGAAAAATAGGACGAACTTTGTGAAAATACTTACTATGTAGGGTGCACTGCAGTAATATTTGTTTTTAATTTTGAGCATATTGTTAAACTTGTCTACAGTGGTCATTATGTCATTAAATCACTATAAAATATCATATCCCATTAATCACTATAAAAAGAGAAAGAAACACCTTGAAATTTTTCTTGGCATATAGAAGTGCTGGACAGATGCAGACATTGAGGAGGATTAACTGTCTTATATTTTCTACTTCATGCATACATTCATACATGTCATTAATTTCTAAAATTATTTTTGGGGTTGAATATAAATATCAGCATTTTGATAGGACTTGGGAAGATTTCTATAGCTTCCCATGAATTATCAGAGTGGTCCCTTGATGAAGAAGGTGTAAAAAGTAAGTCAGAAGCACAAGGCAGGCCATGAGAAGCACAAGGCAGGAGTTTCCAAGAAGCCATTTGGCATTAGCATTGTGTAGCAGCAGGTTCTCTGGGTTCTCTGAAGGAGAGAGCAAATAAGGGGGAAAAAGGATCTGTGAACTATTAAATCAAGACAAAAGTGAAAAGACTAGAGCCAAACTGTACAGAATAAAACCATAATTACTCTCAAGGCATCAGATCAATTTCCAGGGCAGCATTATCTATGATAACTCTTGGCAGCTCCTTTGTTTATCAGGACATTTAAAGTGGCTGTAGGTGCAGGACTCACATGTAATATGTTATATAAAATGGAAGACTGTGATCATTCTTCATATACTAGATGGAATTGAAAAAAAAATTAGGAGTGAGAAGCTTATAAATAGCACAAGAAAACAAATATTCAGGGTTTACTGTGCCTTTAAGCATAGCATGCTTCCTGCTGAAAGAGCTCCCAGTTAGCATTTCAGCTGGGAATCAACATATTATAATTCCTCTTTTGGCGTTTTCTTGTTTTTAGTTTTCCTCCATCTAAAATAAAAGTAAAGCAGTCTGAATAAAAAAGAGGTTTGCTCTATATGTATAGCAACAAAACCATGACAAGAGATTGATGTGTCTATTAAAGAAGTAAGTGAGGGAAATCATATCTTAGTTTTGCTAAAGATGTGCTTGCTGTTCTTTTTCTAAATGCTTTCGAGTAAAATTTTATGTTTAAAAAAAAAAACCTGTTCATTCAGCAAAATCAGGCAAATAATAATTTGTGTTCCAGGATAATATTGAAAATAGTATTCATGTGAACACCCAGATTCCCAACAGACTATAGGTTCAATGATCAGAAACTTTCCGTGCTATTAGCTGACAGCTTCTTTGAGACATAGCAGAGCCTAAAATAGGCTTGAAGGGTTTGTTTGTTTTGGGTTGTATTTTTTTTTTTTCCAGTGAAGAAGATTGGAATTGCCACACAGAAAGCTGCTGCATCTGACATTATAAACAGCTGGAAAATTCTGGGTATAAAAATTCTTAAAACTACTGTTAAATACATTTGGAAGCATCATGGTGAAGCTCCATTGGTTACAGATACTCCTCCTCTTTTTGTCCCTGTTTCAGTTTTGTAACAGCCACTTGTTTACTATCAATCCACATCAAGTGGATTGATAAGATAAGTTGACTGTGCAAAACATTGGCGTCTCATAAAGCAGTGTTTGGACCACATAGGATTAATGGAGGCAGATTAATAAAACTTAATAAATAAAAATTAGAAACAACACAGACAGGTGAAAGCCTATTGATATTTTTCGCAGTTTTAATTTTCACATTGTTTCATTCTACATTTTAGTTATACTACTGGTCACCAAAATTCATTTCTGTGCAATGGGTTTGGAATGTTGCAAATGAGAACAACTTCTTAATGTCCGTGATGATATGATTGTAAGCATCTTATTTAAGATGTATTTCTGCCTATCTGTGCATAAACGCTTATCTGCCTATTATTTATCTCATCTGATCATATAAATGATAATCACAGGGCTTCCCACTGCACTTAGTATTAATAAAACTCTTGAGAGTGCCTGAAATAAATCAAATTTTAAATGAGCCTTAAACCTTAACTAACCTGCCAAGCCTTAAGACAAAGAACATAGCTCAGAAGTGGAGGACATGGAAATTTTACTGGGTTGCAGAACTTGGTATTACTTTTGAGTTGTGCCCTGGCAACACCTCAGGGCAAGGCTAAAGTCACTGCTGCCTTGTCCTTTCATCCTTGTGCATGGAATGAAAATAAAAAGGGACAATCCAGATCTAGCTGCAAACCAGCACATGACAGATGACTGATGTACCTATGTCTCAGCAAATACACAGAGATACAGTGCAAGAATGATAAATGGCCTGTAGTTAAGCAGAAAATCAGTTCTCCTTGACAACCTCCATTTTTGTGATTGCAGAATAGTTATTGAAGTCCAAGGCAATAACAAAATCAACTACTAAGAACGAATCTGTAGCAAGTATTTTAACATCATGGTAAAACTGGAAACATAATTTAAGGAAAAAGGACCAATTTCCTCAGACTTGCAAGCATTGGTATTGTCTTCTCATTGACTTTCACATTTTCAAATTAACAGAAAGAGTAAAGCCCTAGTTTTGAACAGATTCTTTTGCAGTGGAAGTGTCTTTGAACAACTGTGAAGTCAGCCAGTATGTCAGGTCCCCATCGTCTCATCTATGAAGCTAATAATAAGCTCCAGAGTGTTAATGAGAAATGGTAAGTTGCTCAAAAAACAAGTCAGAGTATAGACCCTTAAATTAGATGGTCCAATACAATTTTTTGTAATAGCATCCTATCTTGATTTGCATTATATTAATAAGTCTTAAGTTGCAAATGCAAGATGTACCTAGGGGTGTGTATTCTATCACCCTCTGTTAGAGGTGGGCCAGTTATCTGCTGTTAATTGGGCCACCTGTTAAAACCAGGTGGCAGATAGATTTCTCTATCTCCTCCACAAACCAATCCTCCCTCCAGAAAATATCTTCTGTTAATGGGCCATTGAGTTGCACTGCCTGACCGATAAAATGGCATCATCCCATTGTGAGGTGCTCCACCCAGGGGGAGGAGCCAAGCATTCCTACCTGGATATAATCTGAGATTTAGAACACGGCACACAACCTTTTCCCACTGGACTCCTAGAAGAAAACCCAGCCCATCTACATCATCACTGAACCTTCAGAAGAAAACTATACCCTTCTACAGGATCACAATTTCTACAGAACCACACCTGTCACTCCAGGAGGACTGTAGCCACCATTTAATTGAACTGCTACCAACATCCTGACCCACAGTGTGTCAGGTTGTGTTCTGTCAGGATTGTTTTGTATTACTGCATTTTTGTTTTTACTTTTCCTAATAAAGAACTGTTATTCCTACTCCCATATCTTTGCCTGAGAGCCCCTTAATTTCAAAATTATAATAATTCAGAAGGAGGGGATTTACATTTTCCATTTCAAGACAGGCTCCTGTCTTCCATAGCAGACACCTGTCTTTTCAAACCAAGACATCTTATTACCCAAATCATTCATGTATGCATGTATACATGGGAGTCATGGGATCCCACCTCTGGGTGTTGTCCAGCCCTGTCTTCCACAACTACTACTGAAAAGGTAAAGGTGAACACAACACTTCTATGACCTTGTGTGCCAAAATGTAGATTTGTAATATCCCATTTGGAGAATACCTTCAGAAACTCCCCATGTCGAGTTTAGAATGGAAATAGAGAAATTATCCCATCTTCTTAAATTTGGATCCATGTGACTTCTAAATAGAGAACACAGACATTCTGAGGCAGTCTCCTTCTTACAGATCTCAGCTGTTTTTCTTGCTATCAAAGCAGCCACAGACAGCTTGCTTGGACACCATGGCGAGAGATGAGTCAGACCTCTTCATGCAGCAGAAAGTTTCCTCATGCCCAGCGCTTCTGAAGACCATCATTCTGAATGATGCAGATAGGATGGTTTGTACCAGAGAAGCTATCATACTGTGACACAAAATTCTGCAGATATTTTTGAAGGAAAAAATTGTTTTTACCAAAGTGTAGTGTGGATGGAATTGCTGTCAGGTGTTTGAGACCCTCCAGGGTCTGGGATCTCAAGTCTGAATCCGATATCATTAATCAGAAATTATGAAGTCTTTTTATTGACCAAAAAACAAAGGACAATGGTGGTTTTTCCTTTCTGACAATTAAGAAAATAGGCCCCTAATTTAGACACTCAAAAATTGCAAAACCTACTGTTACTCACAGTTTGAAAAACCATCCATGCAAAACTTATATATAGCATGTTTGCAGTCTGCCTAATATTTATTCAAAAACCTTTCCCACTGCAGCTGGGAATGCCGTTTCTAACCACTGAAGACAAGTGCAGAACACTGGGGATGTAGAACAATTGGCATTGTTAAAGGCAACAGGGACAGCTTTCATCCAAAACATACTACATATCTCACAGATGCTGGTTATCTCCCAGAGCTGGTACTGATAAATGATGTACAACACAAGTGAATGCTGAGACACAGCCAAGCAGAGAAAAGGATATCTAGGAGGAATTCCTTCACAGAAAGAGGCAACTCATTAAAGGAAGAGAGCAGGTACAGCATTTATTTTTCCTTTGCACATCTGTGTTCCTTCTCTCTTAAACTTAGGACTTGTTTGCATGCTCTATTTCAAGACAGAATTTGGGCATGACAGCAAAGCCATTATTTCTTTGTGCCTAGGATGGGTTTATGTTGGTATAGATATGATCAAGTGTAGGGAGGTCTTGAAAAGGTGTTCTGCTCTTCTGGGAAAGCAGTGTTCAGACTTAAAAAGGGGCTCTGCGATTCAATATGCCTTACTCTTACTCCCCTGAAATGGATAGCAGGTTCCTAGTTTTCCTCCTTTCACTTTGATTTTTCATCACGTTGCCCTAAAGAACATCTCTGTTGTTTGAAAGGTTGTACAGTTTTTTTCTGAATTTCCTGGTTTTGGCTGAAGTTGAGTTAATTTTCTTCACAATAGCTGGTATGGGTTAATGTTTTGGATTTGTGGTGAAAAGGGAGTTGATAATTGACAGATGTTTTTGTTATTGCTGAGCAGGGATTGCACAGACCCAAAGTCCTTTCTGCTTTTTGTACTGCCACACTGGTGAGGATATTGGGGGTGCTTTGGAGGCTGGGAGGAGACAGAGCTAGGACAGATGACCCCAAGTGACCAAAGGGATATTTCAGACCATATGGCATCATGTTCTGTATATAAGATGTGGGAATAAGGAGGAAGGAGATGAGGTTTGGAGTGATGGCATCTGTCTTCCCAAGTCACCATTACATGTGATGGGGCCCTACTCCCCTGAGGGTTGCTGGACACCTTCCTGCCCATGGGAAGCAGTGAATTAGCTCCTTGTTTTACTTTGCTTGTGTGTTTGGCTTTTGCTTTCCCTATTAAATTTTCTTAATCTCAACCCTTGAGTCTTCAAGCTTTCCCTTCTCTGATTCTCTTCCCAGTCATGCTGATAGGAAGGAGAGTGAGTGAGTGGCTGTGTGGAGCTTCATTCCAAGTTGGGGTTAAACTGTGACACGAGTCTAACCTGTCTCATATATTAAACTGTGTAAAGAACATTTGCAACTAATTGAAAACACGCATAAACTTCACAGATGAATGCTTCAGTCATTATCTTTCAATTATAAATCTTGGCTCTATCTATTCTTCAATATCTGGTTTTGAAACCACCTTCAAATCCTGACCTATAAGCTCAGTAGCTTGTGTAAGATCTGGAAGATAAAGAACCCTTTGAGTTTTGGCTCTGCATTATGTCAGATGCTATTTATGGGGAAATATAAAAATTACAGTCTATGGTGACTATGGTGTGGCATATATTTAATAGAATAGGCATAATTTTCTCAGAAACACTGATGTTTGAAAGCAGAAATCAAAGAATTTGCAGTATGCTATACCAGGCTCTGATCTACTTCCAGCAACAATAGGAGAGTTTTTAAAAGAAACCACAGACTTTTATCCACTCAGCTCTTAGGTTCAGAACCAAACAGTTCTGAGTATTAAAGTGTGACTCACTGACACTGATTCAGTGGTCACTGAGGACATTTTAAATTTACCCCAGTGTAGGTGATTATAGATCCACTTGAAGTGGTATGATCCAGCAACCATGAGGACATAGTTCTCAAAATCTTAAAAATTGCTTGTTTTAATTTGCTGTTGATGCTAAAATATTTTCTTTAAAAATTGTGTCTCTTTGGGCAATTGCTGACATATATAGGGGAATGTTCTAATGAAATTTTAATTTTTGAAAAAAATTGCTGAAAGCAATATGAATAAGTGAAGAAATGTAAGTATTCACAAATTCCTTTTTCTTACACAGGAAGGGAAAAAAGACTTTTGATTTATTAAAGTATTATGTTTTAACATTTTAAGGTTTGAGTTGCTTGTCCAATTTGTAGCTATTTGATTGAAATGACTTTCCATTTTGGAATTTATTTTATTTTAGGAAGAAAGAATACAAATTTAAAAAATAATTATTAATTGATGAGATAAAAAATGCTGGTGATTAACAAGTTATTATCTTTTATGGTTTATGATTCATTTTTATTTTCATTGAAATAAGGAGTCTTAAGGGCCAGGGAAACTATATATATATAAATAATATATATATGTATATAAATATATATATTTTTAATGGTTTACGGATAGGAAGAGAAAAGTGAATAAATTAAGCAAAATTTTTCCCAATAATTTTCATAGACTTTATTTCTCAGTTCCACTTCATAATATGAACACAGAAAATGTTACAAGTCATGTCACGCCTCCCTTGATCATTATCACCATATTCAGTTCAAAACAAGATTAAATAGGTACAAACTGATCAGAAAGTAATTTGGCTGGTCACTGGAAGAACAATATTAATCATCAGAAGATAATGTATTCTTTTAGCCCTGTTCATTCTCTCAGAATTAGTTCTAGAGCCCAAAATTATTCCATGGCCAAAGTAGTCTGGATTTAAGCAACAAAATCAATTAACCCGATTAATCATAGATCCATTTGTTCAATGGAAGTTGTGATATAACAGCAGACTGTGGTGCTGAATGATTAATGAATTTTCTTTCACTCCTGAGAAGCCACAAATAGGAGTATGATTTTTCAGTTCAGTTCTATCAATAACTATAGGCCTCTATGCCAAATATCGCACTAGTTTTACAATAATTTTTGCTCTTCTAATGCATGCTGACATTGAGAAGCAACTCAGGTGTTTAGTGATTCCCTTCTTTCCCTTCATTAGTAGAGAGACTGACTAAACAAAGGGACTTTAATTGTTGGGTTGGGTCATAACAAGATACACGGCTGGGTCTAATTACCTCTCCTCCCTGCTGCAAGAAGGGTCATGTTTTAAAATGGAAAAGAAAGGAGTAAAATCTCCTCTTTTCCCCAGAAAAAGAGCATGAAGGAAGGTGGGAAGAGTAATCAGTATCCATGTCTGGTCTTTCTCTTCCTTACAGTAGAATCACATTTTTATCCTTGCATCCCATAGAGATAGAAATCTGTAGATTTTTTAAGTCTGGGATATATTTAACTCTTTTTCTTCCACAAGGATGCTACAAAATCTACATCACCACAGTAATTGTTTATGATATCCTAAAGAAAATCAAACAATGAGTGAAAGTTTTATGGCCGGTGTGAATGATGAAATCTTTGTATGCAGACAGCATGGGGTGGGAAAGGTTGTTTGGATATTTTCCTAGGGTCTGTGCTATGAAATTACAAATCTAACAGAATAATCAATGAAACTTATGTTTCACAGTCTAATAGTTGTCTTCTGTATCCTGAACCTGAGTTATCAGTCCCATGGAAGCAGGCTGAGTTTGAAAAAGTGTTTTTCTTCACACTACCTGCCTACCTGTGATTAGTCTTGCATTGGGTGACTCAATTTACTTGTTTATGAGACACATATTAGCCGCAAAAATTAATTACTTGTGTCTCTTCAGGACTGTAAAGAAATACCCACATTGCCCTGTATCAATTTGTTAAAGAACAAGATGGCTTAACTGCCCCACTGTAAGCTCATTTGCCTAGAAACTTCAGTATATTACAGTACACAAAAACTGTGCAACTGCTTCTAATAATGCTTGTATGAACGACTCATCCAGCAATAGTGCACACAGTGGATGGGATATAATCCCAGTCCTCCTTGAGAGGACAACCACAGACATAAGCAGAAGAGTTCAACCTGATGCCAGTGCACACAAATCTGACTGCTTTGTCTATTTTCCTCACAATAGACTGATGTAAGCCACCAAAAGAAATATTTGCCTTTTCAGTGTCGGATCAATGATCCACAAATAAAGAAGCCTTAATATCAAGAATTAGAATAGATTGGAGATGTGTTACTTTTGTCTTCAGCATACTTGAAAAATTAAGCCCATTATGAAGATTTGTGTACACATTGGTTTTCTTGTGTTTTGCATTTTTTAAAGTCTTTCTTATATGCAAATCCAGAATTAATATACCAGTGCAACTCTAAAGGAGATATTGAAGTATGCCAAATGTACACAATAATTAAAATATTAAATTCATTTTTACCAACTTTGTAGGTAAAGTTTTACAGTTATTTCAGTGACGTATTGCAAATCAGATGTTATACTTGTGCAACATATTTGTTTGAGTTTAACTGAGGATAATCGCATGAGATGAGAGAAGAGGAAAACTCAGAGGTAAGATAAGACTGTCTTTCATTGAGTTTGGCTGTGGTTGTTATTTTGCTGTGCAGTAACCATCTGGGACACTGAAGATAACTTCCTGATAGTAGAAGTCAGTAAAGTGAAGTCTGGTATTTATTTAGTATAATTGGCTACATTTACAAAAAATTCAAGAGTATATCCATATCAGAGGAGTATAACAAAGAGAAGTTTTTGTTGGGATTTTGATTTAAACACTAATGACAACTCTTTTAATTATATTTTAAAAATGGAAACAAACAGAAAAACAAAGCAAAACAGACTTATTCAGGCCTTTTCTTCAAGTCTGCCAAAGCATACATATCAGAGGAGTATAACAAAAAGAAGTTTTTGTTGGGATTTTGATTAAAACACTAATGACAACTCTCTTAAATTATATTTTAAAAATGGAAACAAACATAAAAACAAAGCAAAACAGACTTATTCAGGCCTTTTCTTCAAGTCTGCCAAAGCATTTACAGTGCAATAATACCCTTCTTCCATTCTTCCACAGCTGTACCTTGCTTCTGGGCTGTGACAGAGAAATTAAAAGGTGTTTAAACAAACATAAACTATAGGCCTTGTGTGATTATATCTTTCCACATTTAAACAAAAAAACAAATGATGTTTTACCTTTTAGACAATGACAACAAATCTTAACTGAAACAGTTTGAAGTATTTAACTCTGTCAACTTTCAGTCATCATTTGAAGATTACTGTAAAATCATATTTCTGTATTAGAAGTGGCGTTCTTCTTGGAAAGAAAGTTTGCATATTCCGTTTCCTGGTATGTAACCTATTCAGACCTTATTAGTTCATTCTAAATTCATAGACCCATGTAAGGGATGTGAGAGATCCAACCAAAAAAAAACCAACAAAACCAAAAACCA